GTAAACGTAGTAATAGATCATGAAATAATTTTTATCTTTTACAATCGTCTTCACGGTCGTCTAAATATTAAGTTTTAACAAACTCGCAGGTGCGCGTATATGAAACGTATGTCGCATCTGTTAAACTCATATTTCACAATATAATCGCTATAAGTACATACAACTGTGATATCTTGTGTATATTACCGCGCGTGTAACTTCAATAATTGTGTATAACTTACGACAAGAAAAAGAATAAAATAGAGTCTCTCTGCGTATGATTTACGGAACGTTTAGAAAAGTTTTAAGCGCTTACAGGCAGAGGCCAAATACGAATGGCAACAGCATTCTCGCAGTCGCGTGTATTCCGCGCAGTCTCCAGCGTGCACCTTGCATTCCTCTGGTCCCACGCGACAAGTGTGCTCGACGAAGAGAAACACCTCTGAAACAATAGACAAATAAATGACATTCTCGTGACAAGCAGTTTTCTTTTAATAACGTATTCTTTTGATTTTGACATTTCGGCAGCTACCAGCTTCAAGGAATAATATGGCCAATGCATACAATTTCTTATTGTACACAACGAAATAGTTGTCTGTTACTTTTTCTTTGTTTATAATCATATGTATATCACTTATCGCTAGAAACTTTTGAATATCTTTGACAGTTAATAAAATTTAATAAAAACATTGTTATGGTCTTCTAAATGGTCATCAGCCGCATTATTCTTCGATCGAGTCATTACGGGAGTTATTGTAAATAATTGATTAATAGTTCTTAAGTAGTGCAATTGCGGTAGGAAATTGCGAGACGTCACGAAGGCATTTTGTCGTTAAAGCGTAACAAACATAATTGTATCTCGGGAGGGGCACTTGAATGCAAACCTTTCGCGGGGAGCGTCAAATGTAGGCGTTGCGATAATTAACCGGTTTCGTGGGTAGGCGATTAATTTGCATAACGAGATACCGGAGGCTTCCGGCGCGCGCTATCAGTTCCGGAAGAGGATAACACGACGTTGACTTGAGTATTTGTAATCCCGATTTTCCAAAACGTGCACAGGTGTAAAATATAAATCAAGGTCGGTCTTGAGCAATTCGTTTCGAAACAACTGGTGTTTAATCGATCGCGAGCGATTAGGAACGAGCGCAAAACGCATGAGTGATTCACGGACGCGATCGAGAGGCGATTCAAGTTTTAGGTATTCCACGTGCGTAGCTCGCTGCGTGCAGCAATGCAACTTCATGCAACACCTAAAGAATTTTTACGCGCGTTCGGGAATTTTTACGCAACAATAACAAATTCTTAAGTGTCTTAAAGAACGAAAATATGAATAATTCACAAATAATTTCCTCGAAATATCTTTAATTCTGCGATGGTATTTCTATATTCTTTTATTTTTGATATTGAACCTCGTAAAAGTTTTTGGAAAACTTTAAGCATAAAAATGAATAAAGCAATCTAGGCTTCTTGTGTATCTTTACATCAATACAATATAATAAGTTTAAAAACGTAAACAAAAAGCTTTTTGAAAAATGAACAAGTGTGTTTGTAATAACCCCGTCTTTGGTATTACTATATAAAATTAATCATTTTGAATTCGTAAACTTGCCAACAAGACTAGTTAACCTGATTTGAGATGTCGATATTTATTTCTTCTGAGAAGTGTACAAGAGTGCGAAAATTTGCAAACGTGTTAATATTATTATTTAATATTCGTATTAAAAAAAAATCATTGTTGCATGAATAGCGTGATATTATGTCAATTATAAATTCAAATAAAGGTCGCAGGTCGATGGACGATAGTCCTGCGACTTTTGCGAGAAGTTCGGGAAGCGTGTGGAATGCTCAAGCGACTCGCTCGATGACTCGCGCGCGAATGAATCACTCGTTAGATCTTACACACGCGCGTGGAAGACAAGGATAACTCATTACGACGAGCAATGATTTCCTGAACAGGTGACTGCCCTTCCGCTCGACAGAAAGGCATTAATTTCTTCTCGATATATAAAGAAATTATGGTCCCCTCATGTTGATAAATCACTTGGCGATTATAGACAATATTCGGTTTGAAACGACGATCGTTAAAATAACTTACGGTAAATCGTGATTTAAAATGGTTATAATTCAAATTTGACATTCAATAATTTAATTCTGGCACTATTCTTCAATTTTAACCTTTAATCTCTCAGATATCTCTCGTAAGATTTTTTGGATGTGGTAATCGCAATAACTTTGGTTAATAACAGATTCAATTTTATTAAATCAGTTAAATAGCTGAGGAATAATATAAAGAAGTAGATCTCGCTCTAATAAAATATAAAAAATACAGACTTATATATATAAAGTAGTATGATTAAAATCGTTTCTTTATACAAATGTATTCATTTCAATGCATTGGCGCATTTTTTAAATTTAAATGCGACCGCGCGCGCGCGCGCGTATGATACCAAAGGCTTTAAAATTTATAGTATTTATAGTACTGAGTATTTACTGAGTCAGTAACTGACAGCTTAATATTTTTACACCATCTCTCTCGCGTTGTTGAGATTTGAGTTACGCAAATAATTCCTAAGCTCCCGAAACTTTCTGAAGGTAAGTACCTCTGACAATACCCCGAGGGAAATTCTGTAATAATACATAAACATCTCGTCGATCCCACGGTTATTTGAGATATTAACGATTGGAGCTGTAACGGCACGTAGTGGATCGACTAAAAATAATTGCGATTACGTCGCGCGGCTCTCGTTGGCATTGTGCAGATCGCGAAATTGCACCGATCCGCGAGCTCGCTATCATTGCCGTTGCTCTAAATTTCCGTGAAGCGCGCGTTGCACAACGCGCTCGCTCGCCACGGCCGATTGTTCACGCACGAATTCGCCGGCCGGGAATCGTGGTTTTTCAGACTTCTCGCTACGTGAATAAACGAAGGACGAGAGCGGAAAACACAACTTCCGTCGTCGGGAAGGTTAAGCCGATTTCGATCGGCTTGTTATTTGCCGCCGAGATAAATCGCGTGACGCTTCGTTATAGTCCATCGTAAAGCAAGCTACGAAGGTTCACTTGTCTATTTATCTATTTATTCATTATTGATTAATTATTTATTAATTATCTATTTATTAATTATTTATTCATTATTAATCACACCCGCTCGAATACCTACTGTTGAAGCTGCCGTCGCAGCAACAATGATCGTTGATAACGCTGCCATTCGTGCAGTAAGTCATCTCAGGGTAGGTGCAAGGCTTGCATCCCGGAATGGGTCCTGCAAACGATAGATGCGATTAGCGCGAATAATCAAGAGAGAGAGAGAGAGAGAGAGAGAGAAAGAATTAAGTAAGATGAAAAGGCTCAAAAGGAAAAATTGTCAATTAAAAGGAAACCGTCGTATCGTTAATATCTACAATCTTCCTCACTAGACGGGCAAAATGACATGAAACGCCACATTTCTCAGGCATATGAATGAAGCTGAGCGCACGACCGCTTATTAATTAAGAATTATATTTCATTAACCTCGATGCTGGCGACTGCGATTAAAATACATGACAATCGCGTCGAATCCGCATCCATGATTCACGTTAATTAGCGTCTCGAGGCTCCTTGCGTAATCCTTTATGAAATCGTGTCGCGGACATAGCGAGTTGTCTGTCTCTGTGACGATAGAAAAGCACCGTCGCGCTGCATCGACATCGAATACATCGCGAATTGTATGAGTTTCGCCTTCGCGCGAGATCGAAGCCTCGTTAGATCGTGCTAATTCCACGATTGCGATAAGCGACGAGTGTATTCTTCGTATTTATAACATTTGATGAGGATCGTTAATTGAATTATGGAATGAGAACCGCGCATACAATACCCGAGTATTTCAAATTGCCGTTAACGGTACTATATGGTAATCGCCAGCTTATCTCGCTATTTAAATAATAATTGACGGTTAAAATCGTTTTAAATTCACACGTGTGATAAGCAACAGGTGTATCGGCGATCCTCACAAGAATCGCTCGTTTCTCCGAGTCACGATTAAAGGATTGAATTACAGAAATTGGGACTGCACGACCGACAATTCCTAATTCACGCGAATAATGTTAGGGGTAATCATCGACTTCCTCGGTCATTGGAATTACTGTAATGAGAGCCACGTGGTTAGCTGGCTGCACAATTATGCGATGCAAACGACATCGTCAGGTGTCTCAATGTGATGTGAACGTACAACACGCAAAATTATTCGTGCTGACAATAATATATTGAAAAAGAGCGTGAAAAAGCGTGATCCGAATCCGGTAAGGAAAACTGCTACAGAATGCCGAAAAATTAAACTTTTATGTGTTAACAATAACAAAAGTATATACGACTAATACGACACATTTAACTATTCTATTATCACATTTCAGTTTCTAGTAAATAGTGATAATTGAGATCATGAATACATAAAACAGCACGCGTAACTTTTTGTATTATATCGAACGTTACGTAATATAGCAAATTAAAGGAAGGATTTGTTGTCTTTGTTGATGAGTTAGCAATTTATTAAATTATTGACTCATCAAATTTATTTTTCAATTTATCGAGTTTAGTGTATTAAGGTGAATAACAAATTATTTTATAAAATTAATTCAGAGGCAAATTATATTCAACGTAATCTGTTATTAAAAATGTAAATATTAAAAATATAAATTTTTCATGGTACACATATTGAAGGGCATGCAAATTACATAAATGACAACTTAAATTATAAAAAATTTTTAAAAATAAAATAGCGAGCATTGTTATGATTTAAGTACGCAGAGAGTGCACATATTCTGTTATCCGCGAATATTATTCACGCATACCTCTCTGGTCCATGCCGACTAGGGCGCGATTGGCAGAACAAAAATTTCGAAACGTCAATCGTGCGACGCTGGTTAGGTGGATCAAAGCAGCTATTCTTGGCGGTAAGATAAATACATTTCTGTGTACCGTAAGGAAGCTTTATAGACCGGTCGTAGGAGTCAGACAAGAACGTTAATGCGATGCTTTTAGCAACTGAGCTAGATTGGAAAAAAGTCGCACCAAGAATGCTGTTGAGATGTACAGGACATATCGTAACATTTGGAACCTATTTTAGAAATAGATCCTTCGACAAATTCGTTTTCTTCAATTTATCTTAGACAGGAATGTCGAAGCGCATCGACAGTTCTTATACATATAAACAAAGGGGATATATAGATATTTGTGTTAAATTAAAATTGAATAACAATAAATAACAATTAATTTCTTTTTATTTTAAGATAATTTTATTTTAACCAAAGTATTATTCAATTCTTAATTATCGTAAGACTTAATACTTAAACTCTCTTAAAAAGATAAAAAAAATCTTATCTATTCAAATTTTGCTTTAAAAAATGAAATTGTTAAAGAGATATTAGACCGCTATAAAATTCTTGAAATATGGCTTATATGTGAAAGAAATACCATATATCGTACATGAATCTTAATTTTTACGTCCATAAGAAATTATTTATTTCCTTATGCGCTAAACATTCCTTCGATAATTTCTTAATGTGAGATAATACTATATTATATTTTTGTATAAATAGCCTTCTTGATTAATATCGAACAATAATATTGAGGAAAATTCTAAGATAATTCAACTCTGCTTTATTCTTCCACAATTTTATGACGCTCGTAATATTAATGACAACGAAATAAAGCTTACCAGGATATATCTTCAGTTTCTTTGCTTCAGTGAGCGCGTCCTTGCGAAGGACTTCGTGTTCCAGGATGTATTCATCGTCGGGATGATGGTTCACGACTGTGATCGCCTCGAGGTTGCCGATGATCAGGAAGAGCGTCAGGATACTAATCGCACCGATGTCGATCATGCTAGCGTCACCTGATTTCTCATCTTCGATGAGAATCACTTTCTTCTCACTTTCTTCTCAATCACAATAAACGACTTCCGTCTCAACTTTTTCTCGCAGATGAAATAATTTCTGTCGAATTTAAAATGAAAAATAATAAGTAAAATTTAAATCGTGTTTCATTGCGTGGAAAAATTATTTGCCTTACTATTTTCAATTGCAATATAACTTTTCCAATACATCCAAGTTTAAATCAGATGTTTTTTGGTAAAAAATTTACAAAATATTTGCAATTGTTAACCCTCCGTGTGCATACGTGGGTCTGTCATGTTCGACGGTATATTTTTCCTTACCTCAGTATTTTAAAAGTATTTTTAAAAAATCCGAAAAAAATTCACAAAACATCTGTCTACATTGTAATTGACAATATTATAGTCATTTTGATAAGCATCATTTATTTAATATTTTCTAGCAGGTTTGCAAGTTTTACAGTTACGAGCAGATATCATTTCGGCTCGGACACCATAGACCCACGTATGCACACGGAAGGTTAAATATAAATGTTTCTATTAGCAATAACAATATCTTGAAGATCATACCCGCTCGTCGATCTTGAATGGAACAATGCTAAGACAAGATCAACTGCGACCCTGAACTCAACGTGCACGACTCTTATTGTCAGGAATTTCAGCAGGGTATACAATGAAACGACTGTCACAACCGGAAGTATACAGAAGATATGGTATAAAAATAGCTGCAACGACGCCGCACTCATGTGTGATAAGAGATGTAATTAATTTTCGTCCACGAGCTTAAATTTTATTTTGGTCATTTAAACAATTTTGTATTATATTCCAATTTTTATTTTTATTTATTTATTTTTTGTATTATATCCCAATTTTTATTTTTATTTACTTTTATTTTTATTTTATTAAAATTTTTCTGCTCAACTGTGATCGGCGATGCGTCACGTGACATTTGAAAGCGAAAGCGTAAAGCTCGACTTGATCGTGCCTGCCGAGCGGTCGTTTCACGTCAGCTGCATAATTGATCGTTACATCTGTTCTCAGTACGCGGGATCGATATTGTTTTAATATTCAAGAACGCGGAAAGGTACCGGCGTGGCGGCGGCACGAAGATGCCTTTGATATCGATCGCCATGATTCGCCATGTTCTGGGAGAGGGAGGGATGATTCATCCCCCGTTAGTCGCGATTTTATTCGACGCACTCGGGGAGTTCTCCTCCCTTCGACGAACTGGTCGAATTCATTCTTGCAAAATTAACCACAAGACAAATAATTCTCAACGTAAGAACGTAAACGAGTAAGATTCCGTGCGGTTCCACACACAACGCTTAAAAAGCCCGTTCCATCGAATTTAATCGTCCAAACAAACGATTTCGCCGCCGCAAAAGTTTAGTCCTTGCTTGTGTTGTAAATTTGACTTCTCAGAAATTACTTCTTTTAACATTAATATAGTAAAGGAGTGTCGATTTTATATTGACACTCTTTTGACATTGATTCTAGCTCTTTTTCTTTCTTCCTAAAAAACTTTATTGTCTAATTTTTTGTTTATTATAGTTAGGTTTTGTTATCTTTTTATATAATAATAACTTTATTAAACGCATATTACGAATTATATCGAGTTTAAGAAAGTTCATCGAGTTTTAACAAAAGGCGCAAATGGCGAGATAATACAGCTTCTGCACAGTCTAAGCAGAAAGATGAGAAATTTTAAGAACACAAAAAAGAGAATACATTTTCTCATGTGTGACGGAAAATGAGATAAAATGTAGAGAACAATGGCAGATCAAGAAGAAAAAAGGGATAAAAAAGATCGGATATCAGCAAGTAATGAATTGAGATATATCACTGCAGTGAAAGAGAAGGCAGTGCAAAATTTTTTGTTTAGAAGTGTCAAAACAGCTTTTTTCTCTTAATTTATAGATTATATCAAGATTTTAAAAAGCATCTATCGTTAAGAAAATTTAATTACCATAATACAACTTGCAATTAAAAAGTTAGCAGAATAGAAAATGTGAAATAATATACATGCAAATATTCTAAACGTAAAGAAATTTTCAAATATAAGTAAGTATAATAATTCTGATTCTTATATAATTAAAAAATAGGTAAAACTATATAACTAAAACTTACATGTATGTATGGAATAGATTAATATCTTGCAAATAATATCCGTTTTTCTAGTCATTTATACTTTATAAGATACAATAAAAACAAAATTTGATTTTGATAAAAAAAAATCTAATTGACTCTCTCATTCAGTCTACTTTTGCTACTAACGCTGCTCATCAAGTATAAACCGACTCTTATTCTAACGGAACTGCATAGATTGATTTGGCATTCATCTAATCATCAGCTAACGCGAATATTTATTCGCGAATTTATATCTTATATTCATATAAATTTATTCAAATTTTAACTTCTTGTGATCTTATCAACCCCCCTGAAATCATCGCGGAAGGCGTCACAGTATATCAAATGTTAAATATATATAATCCGTGTATCTCAAGGATCTCGGTAAAGCGGCGTAAAGAGACGATAATGCTAGAATTCTGCTCGAGTTGCACGCGTCGTGAGTCACGAGTCTGATGACAGCCGGTCATTAATTAGAGCCAATTAAGGGCGGCCAGCGCGAAACGTGGATGTCTTGCCCTCTGAGACAAGAAGGTGACATCCCGGCGTCTCTTCCTGCCGATGCTATCGTTTACCGCCTTTATTTCGTCGTATACGTAAAACGAAATGCCGGCGGGTGTGTTAAAACGGCGCGAGAGATAATTAAGGGCATTTGACGAAGGACTGGATATGCCTTTGTTCACTTTAAAGAGTTATGACGCTGAGCTAAATGCATGAAGTTCAGGGGACACATGAAAAACAGGAAGCAACAAGTTTTAAAGTGTTTCGATATTTCAGTGATTAAAAACAGTGAGCTATAACACATGCATCCGCTAGAAATAATCTATATTGTACAGTAAAAAGTAAAGATTTTTACCGAATAAGTAACATTTACTTCGCCAGTCAATAATTAACACAATTAAGAATTAAATCGACTATACTGGCAATGGTTATAATCGTGGCAACGATTATGATCATCGTGACAAATCGTCACCGCGTTTCGACTAAGGATTCTGGTCTTTCTAAAATTGATGTAATTTTAGATGCTTATAATATAAGCATCTTAATTAAATAATTAAATTTATTGCGATAAATATTACCATATGCCTCAGTGGTCAAATTGGTACGACACCCGTCACGGAATAAGGGAGGTTCCAGGTTCGAACCCTGGCTGAGATATTATAATATTTTACGCAATAAATTTCATTATTTAATTAAGATGCTTATATTATAAGCATCTAAAATTACATCAATTTTAGAAAGACCAGAATCCTTGGTCAAAACACGGTTGACGATTTGTTACGACGATTATAATCATTGCCAGTATAGTCAATTAAATTCTTAATTGTTTTAAAGATTTTTACACAATAAATTACTTTCGACGTCCTGTAATAATGAAAGATTTGTTTATTTTAATAGAATGTATCAATAACTAAAAATAAAAATAACTATACAAGCATAGTTACCTAAAACAGAATACAATAAATAAAAAAATTACGAATACTCTAAAAATGATTTAAATCTGATAATTAATATGTAAACTCTTTACTGTATTTTATTTTAAAATTTTTGCATTGTTAGATAATAAAAAAAATATTTCAAAATTATAATTCTATTAAAATATAATATTCTTTATTTTCAAATGCTTGAATTAAAAATTAACAGTAAAACGTTCTTAAAAATAATCAAAACATTTGTCATTGTTTTTGATAAATGTTTCGTCGCGTTATTAACTTAATTCACAATCGTTTCTTCTCTAGAATTTGTTTACATAACGAAAAATGATAAATTTGATTTGGAACCACGTGATTCGAATTCCTATCATATCACACGATACGTCAAAACAGCATTATCGTCTTGTTTTTCTGCGAAGTTGCATACGCAACTTGATAAGATTTACTCTCTCATAAACATATAAGCGATAAATTGTAGTAAAAAAGTAAACTTTGTAAATTCTTACCAGCATTTCACCGTATGTGGTTTCCGGTAATAAAAAAATGCCACTTCTGCCTAGAGTATTTCTCCAAAACATCACTTTTCGAAGGCGTTTCAAAAAATCTACACGCGCGATCGATTAATTATTTCAAATAACATTAAAGAACAAAATAAAGA